GGAGGGAGGGACGGAGGGAGGGAGGGAGAAACATCAATGGGAGAGAGACACATCAATTGGCTGCCTCCCGCACACTCTCCAGGGCCAGGGATTGAGCCAGCAACTGAGGTACATGCCCTTGACCAGAATCCAAACCCGGAACCCTTCAGTCCACAGGCCAACGCTCTAGTCACTGAGCCAAACTGGCCAAGGCAAGCCATTTATTTTTATAAATACTAATTTTGACCATAACATGATCTATGTATCATTATTTTATTTATTATTTAAAAAATTATTTTTATTGATTTTTAGAGATAGGAAGGGAGAAGGGAGAGAGGAAAAGTAACATTGATATGAGAGCAGAACATCGATGGGCTGTCTCCTGCACGCCTCCTACTGGAAATCCAGCCCACAACCCGGGCATGTGCCCTGACCAGGAATTGAACCAGCATCCTTTTGGTGCATTGGATGATGCCCAACCGAGCCACACCAACCAGGGCAAAACAGTATCATTACTTTACAGCAATGTCCCATAAATGTTTCAAAAATGCATTAGCATTGTTCTGGCCTGGTGGCTCAGTTGTTTGGGCATCCCATACACCAAAAGGCTGTGGGTTCAATCCCTGGTCAGGGCGTATGTGAGGCAACAGATCAATCTTTCTGTCTCCTCTCCCCTCCCCCCCTTCTCTCTCTCAAAATCAATAAAAACATATCCTCAGGTGAGGATTAAAAAACACAACACATTAGTATTTACTAGTTAAAACAGGCTGAAAAATACTTTCCTGTATAAAGCAAATATATACTTCAAATAATCAAAACCTTAAGAATTCTAAGAGTAAGCTTTCTTTTATTCATTCCACACAGGTTTTTTAAATATGTTTTTTATTGATTTTAGAGAGAGAGAGGAAGGGAGAAGGAGAGAGAGAAATACTAATGAGAGAGAAACATCCTGCCCACCTCTTGATGGGGATTGAGCTCGCAACCCAGACATGTGCCCTGACCAGGAATCGAACCAGTGAATTCCTGGTGCGTGGGGGAGACACTCAACCACTGAGCCACACCAGCCAAGTCACAGGTTTTAATGATAAAGTTTTAACTTGAAAAGGTCAGTCTAAGGCCATATTTATGTATTTCTGTAAAAAATTTCCCTTTTCTAGGTTGGCTGTTATTTTCAATGTCTTTAAAATACAAATGTCAGAGTATTTGAGATCTTGCTTCCTGTCAATATTGTCAGTTTGGCTCAAATAAACTCTAATAAAAATTTTTAAAAAGAATAATGAAAATAAAATACAAATGTCAAACATTTTTCTTTTGACAAATCAATGCAAATATAAAAATTCTGAAAGTATCAATAAAAACATTTAAATGAGGCTAAATACATTTCATTGCTTAAAAGAAAGAAAAATACATAATTTATCCTTCTTATTTACCCTTGTTTATTATTTACTTTTCTGAGATTCACCTGATAATAACCCTTTAAATTATATTTTGCTTAGTGTGAGAAATATACATTTTTGGAAACCCCTACTTGATAAAAGGACTTGTTAAAAAGTTTAGTAAGTGGCCCAGCCGGGCGTGGCTCAGGAGTTGAGCGTTGACCTAGGATCCAGGCAATCTGGGTTCGATTCCCAGTCAGGGCACATGCCCGGGTTGCGGGCTTGATCCCCAGTTGGGGGGCATGCAGGAGGCAGCTGATCAATGACTCTCTTATCATTGTTTTTATCTCTCTCTCCCCCTCTCCTTTCCTCTCTCTGAAATCAATTAAGATATATTTAAATTAAAAAAAAAAGTTTAGTAACAGTGACATAATTATTCTAAAATACAATCTAGCATATTAAAGCTCATGCCAGAGGTCAAGTTTTAAAGAACATCTCCTAACCTTTAGCATCCTTCAGGTTTCTAAACACTTATCTTCTTCCATACTAAGTACTTTGATGATGATTCTCTATAAATACTGAAAAATACTTTCCTGTATAAAGCAAATATATACTTCAAATAATCAAAACCTTAAGAATTACATTTTGCTTAGTAAACACAAGCGACTCAAAAGTCAAAGATGGGATGAAAGTGCTTTCCTAAGTAATTATGAATACAGTTCATCTTAGACATAATATATGAAGGCAAACAAGTTATAGTTCAGTCATTTTTTAAATACAGCAAAAAGAATATATATTTTCTATCTGCAAGCAGTCATCAGTGACTATATCCTAAAAATTCACTGTTTTAATGCAGCTCCTTCCCCCTTTTTGTGAAAAACAAACAAAAACAAAAACAGACCATTTTTAACATGTTGGAGGGCTTAGAGTTCTTACTCTGTCATTAGCTTTGCTACAATTTACTATCACCCACATGATATCATATTATGCTTTTTAATAATCATGAAACACAGATGATTTACCCTTAACTCATTTGTTCAATAAACTTGATTATAACAACCAAACTTGAGAATCTACAGTTCATGTGTTTTAAACTAAATGTACAGATAAAAAGTCACACAAATAATGAAGGCCAGGGTTAAAGACTGTGTAAAAACAGTTAAATCTCAGTTTATTTTACAATCATCATGTTTTCACTGTATTCTTTTGCAAAAAATTAAATAATTCATAAACTGTCTAACTTTGAGGTAAGAAGAAACAAAAACCTGAAATTGAGTCAAAAGAATTTAAAATAAAGGTTACCTTTGTTACTGATTGATGCAACTTAAACAATGAATTCACTACTGCCACATTTCTTCTCTGCCCTTCAGTAAGAGGTCCAATCACCTGACTTGCATCTCCTTGTGTGGAGAGCTGTAAGAATTCAACACAAAAAGAAATTACCAGAATGACAGTTTATATTTAACTGGCTGAGGGGATTAATGCCCCTCTGACAGAATGTGAACTAGAAATATTCAGGTCAAGCTTTGGACTTCAGGCACAGTAGGAATCTCTGTAGAGATAATGCCATGGATATGGAGGTAAGCTTCCATAGGAGGAACATCCTACATCAATAAATAATAGCTGATGGGACTCCTAAAGCAGGCGTGACCCAAAAGTCCAGTATGTTCTGTTACTTGGATACATCAGCATAGTACTCCTAGGGAATACTTTCTGGCAACTGTCAAGAAAGGAAAGGAGGGAGGAAGGGAGGAAGAAAGAGAGGAAGAAAGGGAAGAAGGAATAAAAATAAACCTATATTCTATGTATATTTGACAATCATCATAATATTCCAATGAAATGAGTGGTAAAAAGAGGTATTACTCTTATTTTTTATAGATTAAAAAAATTAAAAGGAAGTTGCCTAAGATTATACTGTGTATGAAAGATCAGTACAAGTGGTATTAGAACTTTCTACTCCTGACCTTTAACTTACTTCTAAATGAATGAGTTTTAGGGAACAGGACATGGAATGCCTTACTGAATTAATCTAAAACTATTGTAGTTCAATTTAAGAAAAAAAATACACATATAAACCATTCTCATATTGATCAGATTTTAATCTATTCCTCTATAACAATTATTACTTAAAGGTAAATTAAACCTGATCAGGACAAATAAAGCACAGTGCAAGTAACTCTACGAATGTTGGTACGGAATTCAAATATATGAAAAATTGGCCTTTTAGTAGAGTTCCTAAGAGTAAGCCAAATAAAATGTGAGAGAAAGAAATACTATTTTTCCTTTCATCTTTCCTTTTATAAACACATACACATATATTTTCAAAATTGAACTCAATTCCCATTTTATCAATGACTAGTTGTAATAATAAAATACAATTTGAAAAATGACAATTGAAATAAAGGGAATAATTCTTTGTTGAAGTTACAACCCATGAAATGGTTATTAAGTCAACATAAGGATTTTGGACATCAGGTTGAATAACTCTAATTTATTTTGCCTTTTCTCATGAACAGTCACCAACTTGCAATCAAGCTGTGTTCTAAAACAACCATTTGTAAGTTGGTGGTCTGAAAAAAGCCATAGTTTTCTTACAGAAATTTTGTGAAAAATTAATGGTTAGACTCTTAGAAGAGCCTAGAAAATCCAGCTTAACATATAAATGGTAAACTAAGTGGGCTCTGTGCTATGATGAAGGTGGGGAAAGGCTCCTGAAAAGGCCACTCAGGAGATTAAAATGGCAATGGGCAGTGGCATCAGTGGCATCATACACTGCTAGCCATTTTGAAGATAAACAGAGGGACGTATACCCAGCAATTCCTAGTTATATACACAAGAGAAATAATAACACATGTTCACACAAAAACCTGTCCACAGCTGTCCACAGCAGCATTGTTCAAAAGATAATAGCCAAAACTAAAAAATACCATGCCAACCAAATAATGAATGAGTAAAATGTAGTATATCCATTTTATTGAGCATAACTCAGCAAAACAAAAGGAATGAAGTCCTGATACATGCTATAACATGAATGAACCTTGAAAACATTCTAAGAAGTCAATCACAAAGGCCACATATTAAATGATTACATTTATATGAAAATTCAGAATAAGCAAATTCAGAGACAAAAAGTAGATTAGTGATTAGGGGGTAGGAGGTGGAGGTGGGGTAGGTGGGGACTGACTGCTAAAGGATAGGAGGTTTCTTGTAATGAAATGCTACAAGTTTGAATATGAATACACTAAAAACCATTGAACTGTACATTTTAAATCATGAATTATATTTTAATAAAGTTGTGTTTTAAAAAGTATAGAAAGAAGAATTCCTAGACTTCAAGGTTACTGATGGAAGCCCTGAGAGCCTTGTGAAAGCTAAGTTAAGATAAGATGGCTAAGTTAAAAAGATCTGAAGAAAATATTATAGGAGCAAAACATTGATAATGTCAAAGACAAGGAATAAAGTTTAAATATCAAAGTAAAAATAGATGATTAGAAACAAGGTAATCTGCTTATGTTGGTTTTATTTATTTTTTGTTAATCCTAACCTGAGGATATTTTTTCCATTAATTGTTTTTAGAGAGACAGTAAGGGAGGGAGGGGGAGAGAAAGAGAAAGAAACATTGATGTGAGACACATCCATTGGTTGACACCCACATGCTCCCTGACTGGGGTTGGGGATAGAACCTGCAACCAAGGTACATGCCCTTGATTAGGAATCGAACCCGCAGCCCTTCAGTGTGCAGGCCAATGCTCTAACTGCTGAGCCACACTGGCCAGGGTGACATTACATCTTGACATCAGACTAAACCTTTACAATTTCAAATCTGTTATCAAAAAGAAGACAGCTTGAGACGGTTCCCTTTTGAATAGTTAACATATAACCAAAAGGCTGAAAACAAAATCAAATCATGTTTATATATGAGAGATGAGCAAGACTAGCACATAGGAATAAAATATAGCTTTGTAATTCAAAGCTGTATTGCTCAGAACCCTGTATTTCTGTTACAAAGCCCTTTTATCAACCTACCTTTCTCACTAACTTCTTTTACATCTCCATGTTCCTGTCCTTTGAGTAAAAATCTCCACCTGGCAAATAGGATTTTATAACCATAAGGGTGGATGGATCGCTTAGAGCTTTTACTTTATTTTTCTTCAAGGGCCTTATGCTTTTGAACAACAGATGGAATTTCCACCTACCCACAACCAATCACTAGCTCCTAAACACTGGCCTGTTAATTAAATTTAGAGTCACAAGTCTGCATATTTTTAATTCTCTGAGAAAGAAAGATTATTCACTGTCAGTATACTGAGCTTTCCTACTTTTCAACAATGAATGCTATAATTAATTAATCAATAAAAAAACTTCACATACAAGCATTTTGGAATGCTTCAAAATTCATTATCTATTCTTCGTTTTAAACTTTAACGTGGACCTGTATTTTAGTTTTATATTGTTTATATGTCCCAAATCAATCACTATTATTTATTTTATACAATTTAAGGCTTAGATTTATCTATGTGTTTACCAATTGTTTTGCTTACTATTACTTCTTGCTATTCAATCCTTACTTTTGAGTTAGAGTTCCTCCTTTGTTACATCAATAAATGGCTTCCCTCTCACCCAGAGTAAAGGCCTAAGCCCTTCCTATATCTTGCAAGGGCTAGAATGATGTAGAGTTATGGTCACAGTCTTAAGTATATTAGATTGGATCGCAGGAATTCTAGGAAAGGAGGAACACTGAGTTGTCTCTAGTCTTTCAGTATTTGGGAATTCAGGCATATAAGTAAGGTTGAAGAAACAGTCCTGAGAACTATAGGTTTTGGGTTGGAGGTACAACTTTATGATGGTATATCAAAGTCCAGAACACAAACTGCTTCAATAGCAGTTGGCTTCTAAGCCACTTATGCCTGCCTCCTCACCCCCATTCAGTGTGATCAGTCCCTTTGGGTGCTAATTAAATTACTTCTTCTGTTAAAAACTTGCATATGGTAAAAACTGAAACAGAACTAACTAAAAGGCATACATTGAAAAACAAAAGTTATCTCTCCACATCCTTCGACCCAGCCTCCACAGTTATACTTAACAGTGACTTGTCACCTTCCAGAAAAAAAAAACAAGAAAAAGCATGAAACATTTATTTACACATCTATTTTTTAATTACAGGTGGGACAACTACATATACTATTTTCACTTTCTTTTTCTAGTCTAATAATATATCTTAGAGAGTTTTCCAAATCAGCACATATAAATGTTTACAAGACTACAAAGTATTTCCCTCACCAATTTGTAACCAAGCTTCCAAACTATCATTATTTTCTTGAAGCATTTTCTATGGATGCTGGAGAAAGAAAAGAAGGAGATCTGAATTCCCCAGAGCTCAATATTACTTGTTATTACTGTCAATCTTTGAAGGTAATTAAAATGATTAGTTAGAAATTTAATTTCCTGCCCTGGCCTGGTAGCTCAGTTGGTTAGAGATACACCAAGGTTGCAGTTTTGATCCCTGGGTCAGGGCACATATAAGAATCAACCAATGAAAGCATAAATAAGTGGAACAGCCCCGGCAAGGTAGTTCAGTTGGTTGGAGTGTCATCTCATATACCAAAAAGGTTGTGGGTTCAATTCCTGGGCAAGGCACATACCTAGGTTGCAGATTTGTCAGGGCCCGTATGGGAGGCAGCTTATCAATGTTTCTCTTACATCAATGTTTCTCTCTCTCTCTCAAATCAATGAACATATCCTCAGGTGAAGATTTAAAAAATAAATTAAGTGGAACAACAACTGGACTTTTTTTCTCTCTTTCTTTCCCTTCCTCTCTAAAATGAACAGATTAAAAAAATTAAAAAAAGAAATTCAATTTCCCAACTAAATAGGGTTCTCAGCAAAGACAGTGCTCACATATGTTTTGAATTAACAAAAGTGAAAAGAATAAATCTACATCCAAGAAAAGATCCCTTATATACACAGACACACACACATATCCCTTTATATTCTCTAAATTTCCAAAATATATAGAATATTATATTTAGTTTTGGTTAGTTCATTTTAGGAAGTTCTTAGATGTTTAAACTGGGAGATGTGGGTGGTTGCTGAACTAAGGATGTGGAGAAAAGGGAACCCTTGTGCACTGTTGGTAGGAATGTAAACTGTTGCAGCCACTATAGAAAACAGCACAGAGGTTCCTCAAAAAATTAAAACTGGAACTGCCTTTTGACCCAGTGATTCCACTTCTGGGAATATAGCCAAAGAAACCCAAAACACTAATTTGAAAGAATATGCACTCCTATGTTCATTGTAGTGTTATTTACAATAGCGAAGATTGGAAACAGCCTAAGTACCCATCAGTAGATGAGTGGATAAAAAAGTTGCAATAATTTACACAATAGAATACTACTTGGCCATAAAAAAGAAGG